TATATATAGTATATATATATAGTATATATATAATATATATATATAGTATATATATAGTATATATATAATATATATATATAGTATATATATAGTATATATATATAGTATATATATAATATATATATATAGTATATATATAGTATATATATAATATATATATATAGTATATATATAGTATATATATATAGTATATATATAATATATATATATAGTATATATATAGTATATATATAATATATATATATAGTATATATATAGTATATATATATAGTATATATATAATATATATATATAGTATATATATAGTATATATATAATATATATATATAGTATATATATAGTATATATATATAGTATATATATAATATATATATATAGTATATATATAGTATATATATAATATATATATATAGTATATATATAGTATATATATATAGTATATATATAATATATATATATAGTATATATATAGTATATATATAATATATATATATAGTATATATATAGTATATATATATAGTATATATATAATATATATATATAGTATATATATAATATATATATATAGTATATATATAATATATATATATAGTATATATATAATATATATATATAGTATATATATATATATAGTATATATATATATATATATATACAGCTAATTCATTAAGGTTGCAAGGTTCAGATTTGACTTCCACTACCGCTACCAGTAAGGAAACATGAACCAATCACAAGTGCAGTAGGTCAGCGAAAGGTTGCGGTAGTGGACTAGTCAAATCTGAACCTCGCTATAATATATAGGTGAAATGTACCATATGAGCTCTGAAATAGGTTTAACACATCAGAAGCCTTGTGGGAATATATAAATATTTATCCCGTACCTAGTTTTTCTGCCGACGCTTGATGCATAGCAGAACACGCACAAGATGAACATATTTTCACCATTATATCCACTTCTTTGAACGGGTTAAGTTCTGTAAGGAGATAACAGGTGTTGGCTCGTGGTTGTCCTGGGTGAATGCGTGAATCACCTAACTTGGACCCACATAGCGGACAGTTTTCCAAATCGGATTCGAAATTAGTAGGCCAACCATTAGCAGCGCCAAGGAATGTTAAAGCGTCTCTCTCTGCTATTGCCTGCAATAGCTCATGTGGCAAAACATATGGGAGTACTTTAACCATTTCAGCCAAATTCAATGTCGAACTTCGTTTGGTGATTTCTTCAGATAAATCATCCGTAGATCCTACCGGCATAGGTCCTGCTGATGATTCGCCTTCAGAAGTCAGAGACATGACCTCGTTGTCAACCGTGGCTCCAGCCATATCCAAACTAGTATTGGTGTCAAAACACGACCGTAGCAAAGCTATGTGCATGCACATTGATTTCGTTTTGACTTGCTTCCCTTTTGCTGCGAATCCTCGACAGTCTTTTCCTGTACAAACATAATTGTTCAGTTCATTTGTACCTTTGCGGACATGGCAGTATCCGAGAGGATTGCTTGCAGATGTTTGTCCCAACACACA